GTACTGATGCGTTAGTTCACAAGCTACAACTCAAAGCCTATTAGAGCGTTCTGTGTGAATATTTACACTTATTGTTCTCAAAACAAAAGAAGCACTCCTAGGAAACTCACTTTTCACAACCTTCATCGGTGGGACGAAGAAAATCCAATGGCGTTTCAATGCGTTTGGACGGAATTGAAACTCGTAGGACGAACTTGGAATCAAGATGCAGTGTTAGATTTTTAATAATATCTCAACAATGTGTGACTCTTTATCAAATTTAACGGTATTTATGGAAAGGGGAATAAATTTAGAAGTCATCTTTGATTTCATTTATTGTTAAACTCGTTCAAGAAAGAGAGGTAAACCGTGGGTTGTGCTTAGTAGGACGGCAATCAGATCAAAAACCCACACACAGGTTAATTTCTTAGGCGTGAGTACAGGCCTTGTGTAGTGATTAATTTCCATGTCTATCACGCTAATGGTCACGAGGTCAAATCTCATTCTTCGACAAGTCACGAATGATCTAAAATGTGGTAAAATGATCCTCAAAAAAAATAAGGATTTTTAATAAACCATTGCTGATGAATATAATTTGACAACCAGATTCTATGTTGGCTACCTTAAACCAGGATCTTAATGCCTGGATGTAAACAAATCAAAATGTGAATCACATTTCAAGTGCTTAGAAACAATGTGTGCGTGTGTGCATTTTTTAAATCTAACGTCAGAAATCGGACGTATCCGTCAGTGCTCCAAAATCTCAACCATACACGCCGATTTTGACGAAACAGCGTAAGTTACCATTTTTGCATTTGTATGTTGCAAGAACCATCATACTTTATGCCCAGGGAAGTCGAGAAATTTGCCAACCCGAAAAATTCCTAGACCAAACTGGGAATCGAACCTCTCAGCCTCCAGCATGGTCTTGCTTTGCAACTGCAGCTTTACCGACTGAGCTAAGGAAGGCTTCCATCTTGCTCACTCGAGCTAAGAAGCATCTTCAAGGGAAACCAATCAATTTTCAGTGACAATCTAGTTAATGACGGACGTGAGCAGTTTTTGTTATCAGCTAAATATGTGACAAAATTAAGTGAAATAAACAAATAATTTGTATTAAAATGAACAAACATCTACATTAGACTGATGCAAATTTTCACTCCACGGTACTCAAACGGTTCAAAAATTTTTTTGTTGAAGATGCTAACTTCAAATAACGGACTGTAGTGGTAATTTTTATACGATAGATGGAGTAGATGAAAGCATAGAGTTGATAGTTCCGTTAGAGTACGGCAGTGTGAAGATTGTATATAGAAGTAATACTAAAAACATATAGTCAAAGTACATAACTCTGGATGGGAGCATACCATCAATTACTGTCAATGGTCGAAAGGTACAGTAGCAGCACCTACCCCACCCGTGTCCCCTCGAGATCGTCAAGTCGACGATGACAGGAGCACATATCTTGGTAGGGGTAAACAATAGTTGCAATTTCCAAACCTACGACTGGATGCCTTCCTTCAAATAACAACTGAAGTGCGGTAAAAAATCGGTAGAACTGTTTCAAACACACAGTTGTTGTTTTAGCCAGTGGTGGCGGGGGGGGGGACACCCCTCACCATCCCTCTCCAAAGGGGGAGTTTGGTAAAGAGAGATGAAAAAACCGATTTGTACCTTCCTTAAAAGTTGTCCTAGCTCGCTTGTCTAATATCTATATACAATCTTCACACTGCCGACTCTAACGGAACTATCAACTCTATGCTTTCATCTACTCCATCTATCGTATAAAAATTACCACTACAGTCTGTTATTTGAAATTAGCATCTTCAACTATGTAAATCGTTGACTTCACGTAGAAGTAATACTAAAAACATATAGTCAAAGGTTCAAAATTGTGTCCTGATTAACCTCGCAATATTTGAACTCATTTAGTAAGAAACTGACTTGGCACAAACCATTTCAAATTTATTTGGGAATTGCCATGGGAAAACTTATTCTTTTGTTCATATCTATCTAACAATTTACCACATCACTCTGCTTTAAAAAAATGATACATTTGTTGTAGCAAATTTTCTCAGCTACAACTTTGTTCAAGTCCACTTTTCGATAAAATGTAAGGAACAAAATGTATGAATGATTCGAGTCACTGATGCCTTATGATTATGCTCAATCATGTGTTCAGCAGGCAACATTGGAGTTTCTAGCGCGTAGAATAGAGTACACAAATCATGGCTACTATGTCACACTGCAGAATACAGTGTTGCCGACAAAAGACCTGCTTGATCATGCCATAAGATTATCGATCTGTTAAACAATTAATAACTATTTCATTTAACATTTTGCTGAAAAATAATACTGGGTAAAGTTGTTGCTGAGAAAATTTCCCATAATAATAGTTATAGAACTTTTTGACAGTGTAATCTAGAAAACTGGTAGAAGACTATGAACAAAAAGTTTGGTTTCCCCATAAAAATTTCCATATAAACTTCAAATGGTTTTTGTACCAAGTCAGTTTCTTACCAAATGAGTTTAAATTGTGGGACGCTAATCTGGACCGGATATGACAACTTTCCAGTATTTCGCACGAATTGAACCTTATTCGTGAATGAAATCCTTCAAGTGACACGTCATTACATGCAGCATTGATTCTCTTGGCTTGAACTTTATGAAAAGTGTATCCTCCCCCACAATCCGGTAAGTTGCTTCCATCTAAACGAGATTCACATCTAGTGCTTTCAAAAAAAAACATGGCAATTCCACCCATGGAGGGCTTCGCGCTTTCATTGGGAAAGCTGAATTTGATCTCATTCTTTATTTTAACGGAAATCTCCAGTTTGTTACTTTTAACTGTAACGACAAAGTGACCGAAACAATAGCTGCTATCGAACACACAGACTATCAAGTGATCCACACCGAGTGTTTTACTGTATCGAAATTTCCTCTAAATTTCTTCATAAAACTCCTTTTTATATGTTTCTTGGCCGAGTAAACTGTCTTTTCCAGTTATATGTTTTCCCTTGATTTTAAACTATCATAATATTTATAAATTACTTGCTCTGTAAGCAAAATACTAACAGCGTCAAGAACTCAAGAAAACTCTTACGCGTAATACAAAACTTTATGCCGTTTCATGTCAAGGCGTGAAAATGCGACCTCATTTACCTTCAATTTAATTTCCAACAACTTCTTCTTCTTCTTTTCTACTTCGCATTTAAAGCTTATTGCTTATCACATATTACCTTATTGCATGCACTCAACTTAGTGTTCTAGCTGTACTGCCACAGTTATTAATTGAAAGCCTTCGATGCCTGTACCATTTTTGCATTAGCATAATTGTGTGGCAAGTAGAATCATACCCTATGCCCAGGGAAGCCGAGAAATTTTCCAACCCGAAAAATTCCTAGACCGGACCGGAAATCGAACCCAGCCACCTCCATCAGGGTCTTGCATTGTAGCTGCGCCTTAACCGACAGAGCTCAGGAAGGCCAACTCCTACAACAAACTTCTCTCGACTTGTGCATCACACTTGTCCCGTGCTGATAGTGACTCTTGTTTACTGTCTGCAACAATTACGCTAACTATTTTAATACACTCCCAACCGGCTGCTCCGGCTCTGGGTTCATCTCATTATACTCTCAACTCACAGCCCTTGCCCGGTCTCCAACTAGGCTGTTTTCACCGACACGCGGACTGCATTCCAATTAAAGTTTCAAATTGTGTTTCTTAATTTCATTATCTTCTGTTTAAAATAGGAAGGGAAATTTATTTTCCTCCTCGCCTCGACAACCAGCATCGACCCACGTCAGTTAGTAAATAGCTGCGAAAAGGACCCAAATATAGCGAAGGAAATCCTCATTTTCCAAGCAGACGATTCGCACGGGCAGCAGTCAGCAGTGGTGCTTCGCTGTCTAACGAAGTGAAATGACAGATTTTAATGAGTTTGGTTTCTGTTTTCCTACCACGCCACCGACGCCGTCTCAGTCTCACCAGATGAATGTACGCCCGTAAACAGAAGCTGGGCACCAGCTGAGCATCCTTTTCGCGGACACTCCGTAAGGAGCTGGTGCTGTTGTAGCGTTATAGCGCATCATAAGAGGCTTTACGTTTGTTCCGAAGTTGGTGGATGACTGCTTCTCGTACCGAACTGACGTTGAATGCAAATGCGCTGCGTGTTTGCTTTACTTCCTGTGTGTAAGAGTGCAGCTGGTGTTCAGCTCAAAAGGAAGCGGACACCATTGGGCTGAGTCTGTGTAGAATGAAACATTTGCTCTTCTATTTACTTTAACTTTGCAAAGTAATGCGGTTTGTTAAGGGCAAAAGGTCAAAAGTGATTAAGAACATGCAAGTAAGCATTTGCAAAAAGTGCTTTGATCCATCTCTGTTTTTATCTTTCGATAGTCCTGTAAGCGTACCTTATCGTTTTCCCTCTGGATGACTTCTGAATCTCCTCTATTTACAAATTAGCTAGAAATCATATTTGACTTACTGCTCTCCGATATGCTTTTTGAAGCCCATTATCACATTATCCTCATTGAATCGTCGCTGTGAAAATGCTACCTCAATTCACTGAGCTCAACTGGAGATGTAGATAATTCACCAAAATTTTTAGTTCATTACCCATCCAGATTGTCATTTGTTCTGCTTTCTCTGTCTAGCCAAACAACCGAGAGCCCTTCGAAAGTAAGCATGATCACATTTCATTTAATCAGTAAATTGCTGCCGCGCTCAAACTGAATTTTTGAATCATCATCAGAGCACTTTCCACGTCACCGTTGACGATGCCATCGTAGTCGTGGTTCATCATCGTCATGGACAAGAATTTTATTAAATTTCCACTGCTTCTGCTGCTGCTGGTAGTTGCACTAGCGCAAGTGAAGACAGCTGCCGTAGCTTGTCACTCACTTGCAGCAGAGACCGCCCGCCGCTACCACCTAACTAAGTCATCTCATAATTATTAGTTTTTCCACCCATTATGATTAATCTAGTTCCCCTTCTTCTGCCCTTCGCTTTCCTATTTCCAGATATGCAGAATTCGTGGCTCTGATTGCAATCTCGTGCACCCTGTTCCTGTTCCTGCACACCCAGAGCCTGACGTCGCGTCTCCGTGAAATGGAAGATAAATTGCAGCCATCGTCATTAATGTCAAGCAGCGGTTTAAGTGGTAATTCAATTAGTCAAGGTAGGTTCAACCCCAAAGTCACTTCCTCTATCCCTACCACTTTTGTGGGGCTTTAAAATTCCTGCCGTTCGTGTCAAATACTCTGCCAATCAACAGTCCCGCGTCAGCCCTTTGCGTGAGTAGGTTTTGACTTGCGGGAAAGACAAACTTTCTACCAAACCCCTTTGCATGTCCATGGTTAGGAATCCTCTTTATGGCGCCAACCACAAGCTCACCTTCCAACTCAGTGGATGAAATTATTACCGACTTAATCATTATGATCTTCAACCACGGAGTCATCAGGAAGGATCAACACACTCACACACATGACAGAAACATGATATCCCAGGTATTAATATGCAGCTCCAACATCGACTCTCGGGCAAGTATCGTTCGTTCACCTGGAACGGAACACTGAAAGTTGGGGGGGGGGGAGTCTTGAGGCTCACTTTAATCCCTATCGATGATACACGTGGTGAAACGTCCTTCCTGTTGGGATGTTGAATTTAGCCAACCTTTGCAGCACCAGTCGAAAGGGTTTGGAAAATTTGTTGCCGAAGGTAATCAGAATAAGAGAGTAAGGGGTGGTCCTGGAGGAAAAGTTATAAAATTTTCCACTACCATGAAAAGGGTATCGATTTTCACCTCTGATCGAATTAATATCCATTTATCCAATTTGCTGCTCAAACGTTCGACCGAATGGCGGCAAGGGGCGGGGTATGTCTGCTGGTTTATCCTGTTTGTGCTGCATCAGTTGAATGCAAGTAAGCAGAAGCTAGGAAGTGGAATGTAATCGAAAATGTGTGGATGCGATGGAAATGGATATTGAATGCAATTTCATCACAATATTGGGAGAAAATTTGAAACAAAGTTTCAACCGGATTTGCAGCAAATGTTGCATCGATATGCGGAAAAGGCAAGTTTCTTGCATGGGTTGCTTTTGCAAAACTTTGCAGAAGAATAAACAATCGCGATCAAACAAATCATTTCAAGATTCATTAATGTTACCAGATTGATGAGATTGAGAAATTGAATCTCCAATCTCATAAAGATAATTAAATCAATATCTCTATGATATATCAGCCATTGCAGTAGCAAAACTATACAGTGGTTTGTAAAAAAAATGTTGTTTTGTTTCTTATCGCAAAATATTAAACGCGTATTTCTTATTTTGTCATGACCATCATGTCATGAAGGGTGACTATTGTCATGATAGAGTGGTCCAATTTTTGAAGCAGGTCTACGTCTGTGATTTCTATATGGTGGCACAATTTGTGAAAACCGAAAATGGAACATGAAACAAAATTGTGAAAGATTTTGAACGTTAATAACTCAGCTGCCCCTGGTCCAATTTCAATCATTTTATCACCAATCGATCAGAAATATGGCTACGCATCGATAAAAATGCTTCTGAATGTTGATTTTCAACAAGAAACTGTTGAAAAAGTGGTAATTAACTCTCAAATCCACCAATTACGTACATACATATGCTGCTTCCCCAACACAGTTATCAGATAATCATTCCTAGACGAAACATGTCGATGTAGTATTACGACGAGGTTCGGTAGTTCAGTGGTTACCGTTTCTGCTTACCGAGCAGAATGCAGGGAGATCAATCCCAGGCCTGTCCCCTTCCTTGCAATTTTTCACTTTGCCTTATTCTATCCCCACTAGATTTATAATATTAAATAAAAAACAAATTCTGCTTTAACCGATCGCATCACTTACCACAGTGAATCCTGATCTAAAAATAACCTACCTCACTAACACAACTATCCTTCCCGAGACAGCCGTGGAGATGTAGAGGTATTCTCGGTCTAGTAACAACCGGACGTCGAACTAATCATCCTTCCCTCCCCCAAAAGACCGTGAGGACGTGGCCGGCGCTGTGAACTGATCTATAGATTGAATTAATGTGCTTGTACATTGAAGATGGAAAGCTTATCCCATGCACCATCTATGTAGTCCTCTGTGCAAGTCGATTAGTTCTGATCCCAACGTCAGATAACGTTAACTCGACGGCAAACACATTCATTGATACGTTTGTTGTTGCGAATGATAGAAGAGCATAGAAGAAATAGTGCGAAATAGGAAGCCATGGTCATCACAAAAGAGGAAATCGATAAAGAAAATTGGCTTTCACCTTTTTGCTTCTTACAGTCATCGTCATAGCATCGCACCGCTTTTGGTTCTAGGACACTTGCTGGTTGCAATTTTTAGATCGGGATTCACTGTGATGCGATCAGTTGTAAGCAGCAGAAATTTCCTTCCCAACTCTCTTGTGGAATCTTTAAGTGGCTCTGAAAAGGGCCGGTTTTGTTAGATTTCGACGGAGAAATTAAGAGCGTTCACCACAAATACGAAGAGCCAGCTGAATGTCCTTTGGCATAATTGTGACACGCTTGGCGCTGGATTCCTGTAGGGCCATTATCGACCGAGCTCTGGAAGTGCAGATCGGTCTTGAAGTCCTGGACGATTTCACGGACCAGACGCTGCAAAGGCAACTTGCAGTCAGCAGCCCGGTCGATTTCTGGTAGCGACGATGTGGATACGTTGAATGCAATCTGTTGATTAAATTTTTTTCTTTGACTTCCAGTTGAGCCAGTTGTGTTGTATGATAACTTACAGGGTATTACCAAGTCCGCCGTCCGTCGTCTGGTTCGTCGTGGTGATGTCAAGCGTTCACGTCCTCCGGTCTGATCTAAAACCCGAGTGTGCTCAAGGTAAGGTGATGCTGGAAACGTCATTCGTGGCGCTGTTACCTGAAGCGTCAGGGACGCACCTGAGGTTAAGCTTCGTTCATTTTCCGTATCCAAAACGGCCCTGTTCAGGGCCACCAACTAATTTGAAAAGAGATTGTTTAGGAATTCTACTAATCTTGGCATGAATGAAATTCCTGGAACCAGCAAAACGGTAGCAACCAAGCTTCTAATCCTGATGCAACTGGGCTCTCTGAGTGCCCATTTCTCGTAGCGATGAAGGCTAGCGCTGCCTTTCCAACCACCGGGTCAACCCGAGTCCAGCGTAGCCGTACAAAGAAGTATTTATGGTGATCTTATATTGTTGACACACAACTGCCTTATTGCATTGAGCAGATAGAAATTCAAATAGCCAGAAAATTTTTAAGACCCTGAAAAGGGCCGTTTGATTTGTCAGATGAGTTGCATGGCTTCCCAAGCAACATTGCATTTATCGAGGTTTTATAGCATTTTACAAGTTTAAATCATTCTCTACAGAACCCTTATAAAACCAGAAATGTTACTTGAGTTTGCTGTTGGCTCACACTCCGGTACGGTGCAGATTGGAAACGATGATAAACGCCCTGAGTTAATAGCCTAGAACTCGATAAGTGACAAATCTTGGCGATTGTTTAACGTGTAAGAGTTCTACTTTTTACTGTCAAGACGGACATTGCGAACGAAAATTAAGTCCACTCACGATTCACGTCCAGGTGCAAATATTTCTTCATGAACTCGACGAACTTCAAGTTCCCTTCGTTCATGAGGTCCGTGTTAAAATTACCCAGCACAATCATGGGCATTGGCTCCAAGCAATATTTCGTCAGATTCCGCGCACAAAAGTATTGCTTCTGCTTGTACGACAAATCTGGATGATATTAAATAGAACAGAAAATCAAAATATTAAAATGAGGTGAGGAAAATAATTGAAATATGGCTCAATAAAGATACACATTACCATTTATTATATAAGATTACGTAGTCCTACGTCATCATTGCGTACAACCCCATAGGGCTGTCCCTTGTAGTTTTTTTTTTCCAAAAATGACTTTTTTTTTTCAATATTCATAACATTTCAACCACTTAGCCGATTTTAAACATCAAAATATGAAATGGAAGGCAGTTAAAAAATATTTTTAAGAAACATATTAAATTAAAAAATGGGATTGTGTATTGAAAAACATCGATTGTATTTGTTTTTATGGTTTTCATGGTTTGTAGACGAGGCCGCAATATGTTTTTATATTTTTCCTTGAAAATCTAGGCTTTTTTATGTTGTAAATAAATAAAATAAATATAAAATAAGCGATGTTTTATTTTGTTTTGCTTTTGAGTTAAATATGTTTAAAGTTATTAAGTTTTGGGTTTTCACTCAATACTCCTATGTGACTAGACTACCATCCATTCCAATTTTTTTTAGTGGCTGTAACATGGTCACGCAGTGACGTGACTTGTTATCTTTAAAAAATATAACTCATAACTAGAATAAAAAAAAAACAAATTGCTTTTTTTTTATTGTGTAAAAAGCATAAATTTTCAACTATAAAAAAACAATACAATCAGTGTTTTTCAAAACAACATCCCAGTTTGTAAATATTAATATATTTTTTTCTAAAAAGTATTTTTAATTACCTTTCATTTGATATTATGATCTTTGTAATTTGCCCAGTGGTTCAAAAGTTATGAAAAAAGTCATTTTTTGAACCACCTTATCATGGAAATTGCCACCCTAATGACAAAATAGAAATAAATACGGATCTAATATTTTGCCATAAGGAACAAACCTACAAATTTTTAAATTCTGAGAAGCACTAGTAGGTGCTCTAGGAGTATGCAGCTTTGGTTGTCCTCGTAAATGGTATCGGGCTCATGGATGTCGTCGCCAGTCATCGCATTAACATGTGACTCAACAAGTGCGACATATTCCACTTCGTTGTAAGACAGGGTTACACAATTTTCTCATTTCCAAAGAAATACGAAGATCTTCTATGATAGGATCATAAGGCTTCTAGCAAGATGAAGAATTTCCACGATAGCTTATGCCATCACTTCTCAACCAGAGATTCGTGAACTCCCGCCAAGTGGAAAGCACATGAAAAGAAGCGATGTTGAACGAGCTTGACCGCTGCCAAGGGGGGGGGGGGACGATGAGAATCGATAGATTATGTAATACGCAGGACTTCAAAAGCAAATTCAATCATTCGTAGACTGGTTCGTCTCTTTCTTTGTAATGTTATTGCTCCCATAGTGATGACTGCTATTTGTCACAGGATCTCTTCTATG